TTTTTTTTCTTCCCCCAGGCCTTTTTTGTGTTTTATTTTGAAGAAGGATCTTGCTAAATTGCTTAGGGCTTTGCTAAATTGCTGGTCTCCCTCTTGGGATCCTCCTTCCTCAGCCTAGGATTATAGGCAAATTGCACTGCACCCAGCTAGGATTTTTATTCTAATTTTTTTAATATTTATTTTTTTAGTTGTAGTTGGACACTATACCTTTGTTTTATTTATTTATTTATTTATGTGGTGCTGAGGATCGAACCCAGGGCCTCGTATGCACTAGTCGAGCACTTTATTGCTGAGCCACAACCCCAGTCCATTTACATTTTAATGTCTCTGAAATCAATCAACTGGCAATTTTTTAGTTTTAGTTTTGTTTTCCCTAGGGAAATTTTGTCCAGGTTTTCATATGTTTAGATTTCTGTATACATAGGTAATGTAGTCAAGCTCTCCGGCAGCTGTGTAAATCTCAAGAATGTTTATTTTCATTATCTATTGTTGTCACCTACTTGAAGTAGTCTCTCTGGAGCCTTCTAACTTGCTCTGTTACGGACTGTCTGTACTCTAAGGCTGTGGGACATCATCATCTTGGATTCTCCCTTCATTCTGTTGGGGATTTCCGTCACTTCTTCCTTGTGGTGAATACCTGGTTTCCTGGGTTCCCCTTCCTCCTCCCTCTTGGTTTATCTCCATTTTTCAGTATGGTAAATTCTCTTATCATATCCTGAGAGTGCTTTAATTTTTTAAGACTGTATGTCTGAAAATACTTTTTCTTCCCTCACATGATAGCTTTGTAGGGTGAGAATTCCAAGTTGAAAATGAGTTTTCCTTGGGTTTTGTTTTGTTTTCAATTTTGAAACAGGGTCCAAGTAAGTCTCCCAGGTTGGCCTTGAACTTGAATCCTACCTCAGTTTCCTGAGTAGCTGGAATTACAGAAGAATACCACCAGCTACTTTTTCTCAGTACATTGAAACATTTCTCCTTTGTCTTCTGGAATTCCATGAGAAAGTGTAGATTTCAAATGCATTCTGATCTTTTAGGTTCTTATTAAAAACAAACAAACAAACAAAAAAAAAAAAACTATCTCCCTGGAGAAGTCTTAGAAACAGAATCTCATTGTCTACAATGTTATGGAATTTTTTTATAGAACACCAGTTTTTATTCATTATGCTGGAATTTAATGGACTAATTCTTTATGATAGGCATTCATTCCAGCTTTAAGGCTTATCAGGGTCAGCACTTCATCTCCTGATGCCATGTCAACATTACTCCTATGCTTGGTGCCTGAGAACTATCCTGTCCTAGCTTTGGATTCTGCTCACCATCCTATCTTTGGTCTCCTTTTTTGGTTTCTGGCACCTGGAAATTTCCCTTTCTTGCTTTCAGGCCGCCTCAGTAATATTCTCTTGTGGCTTTAAATACTGTCTATACACTGCTTATAAATTACATATTTGTATCAAGTCTCTCCAGAACCACATGTTCTCTGTAGCCAAAAGAAATTTCGAACTTGAAATTCCACATCTGAGTTCCTGATGGTCCCCCTAAGCCTATTCCTCCCTTAGTCCTCCTTACTCTTCCAGGTACTCCATCTGAAAACCTCAGAGTCATCCCTGACTCTTCTTTCCCACATTAAAATTCAACACTATAAGCAAATCCTCTCAAATTTACCTTGAAAATATATCCATAAACAAGTGAATGCTCACCATCTCCATTGCTAGCACACTAATCCAAACTACCAGCACATCTTGCCTACATCACTGAGCAAGTTTTCAGTTCAGTGGTATTGGACTGTCATTGTGATTGCCCCCCTCACCCCAGCCAATGAACAATACAGCCCCTGTATTCATGTCTTTGAGTGGCCTCCTTGCCTCAAGTCTGGGCTGGCCCTATAACCTACTCTAACATAAAAGAATGAGTAAAATTGATGCTTGACAGTGATGAGCCTAAGCCTTAGAAGGCCTTCCATCTGCACCCTGACGGGAGCTTTGTACAGCCATGTAGGAAGTCTAGCTTCCCTGTTGGAGAGGTCACATAGAGAGGGACACACTAGGAGACCACCTGAAGGTAAACTGAGGAATCGAACCAAGAGCAAAACCGCCCAAACACATGACCACAAGAGAGCTGCTGCAACACACCACCACCTGCTTAAGCTATCCTGGCTAAGGTGCCATTCATGTGACTGAAGAAATCATGTTGGACATTCCAGGCCAAGCAGAAATTGGGTAGTACAGAGAGACAAATTGGTCTTCCTGTGCTCCATCAGAATTCCTACCCACACAACCATGAATATTAGTATAAAGTTTGTCATTTAAACCCTTAAATTATAGGATAGTTTATTATACCAAAATATATAACGTAACCTGACTACTTGATAACCATCCCCTTCAGCCTATTCTTATTACAACAGATGAATTTCTCTTAAAAAAAAAAAAAAATATATATATATATATAGATAGATAGATAGATATAGATATAGATATAGATATATAGATATATAGATATTATGGCTGAGGATGTAGCTTAGTTGGTAGGGTGTTTGCCTTGCATGCACAAAGCCCTGGGTTCAATCCCTGGCACCAAAAACAAAAAAACAAACAAAATATATACTTAATTATAATGTACTAATTATATTGATAATAATAGAAGGAAGATCAGTACAGTAGAACAAGCTGATCAGAGGGAGAAGAGACGAGGGGAAGGGAAGATAGTAAGGAATGAAATTAATCAAATTATGTTATGGGTATGTATGAATATGGCATAATGAATCTCACAAATGAATTATGTATAACTATAATATACCAATAAAAATTTTTAAAAGAAAAAATGTAAAAGAGGTCATATTACCCCTGTGCTCAGAATCCTCCAATTCTTCTCATTCCATAGTAAAACCAAAACCTTTACAGTGGCCTATAAGTTCCCAGGGGTGACAGTAAGGTCAAATTCTTGTACTGCTGGAGAAAAGATGATTTTACCACTTTTTTTTAAACCATACAATTTATTTTTATTTTTTTTAGTCATACATGACAGCAGAATGTATTTTGATATATAATACAAAAATGGAATGTACATACATCAATCATATTGTCTATTCTATTCTGCTGCCCTTCCTATCCCCCCTACTCCTCCCCTCCTGATTTTACCACTTTTAAGCGTAATAACTTTTTTAAATGTGTGTGTGTGTGTGTGTGTTTGAGTGTGTGTTGCTGGAGATTGAACCCAGGGCCTTGTGCATGTGAGGTAAGCACTCTACCAACTAAGCTATGTCCCCAGGCCAATTTTTTTTTTTAATGAACATTATTCTTTAAATTATTTTTTTTAATGAGAAGAAAAGAAAAAGAATATGTAACAGAGACCATATGTGGCCTACAAAGCTTAAAATATTTACTATCTGGCATTTGGAGAGAAAAGTTTGCCAACCTCTGTCCCACACAATCTGGCCTCTCTCTGGCCCTGGTTGGTCTCCTTTGCTCCTTCCCCTTTCTCCCCTACCTCCAAGCAGACTGGCCTCCTTTTCTTCTATCACTCCAAAACAGCCAGGAATGCTCTGCCCTGAGGTCTTTGTTCCCATTGTTTTCTCTGCCTGGAATGTTCTTCCCCAGATGTTTGCACAAGGAAGTCCCCTATTCAAAATTACAGGTCATACTCCTTAACTCCCTTTGCTTTATTTTTCTTTAAAGCATGGATCACCAGCTAATATACATGTTTTACTTTTTATTGTTGTTTCCTATTTCTTATATCCTTCCCCTAGAATACAAATTCCAGGACAGGAGGACAGGAGCCTTCATCTCTTTCTTCACTATTGTATTACATTGTATTGTATTACCAGTGCTTAGAACTGTTCCTGGTGTATTGTGGGTACTCAGTATGAATTTCTTGAATGTCCTGATTCACAAAACCCTGCTTTCCGCACAACACTTGTCACTAGCTGCAGGCCATATGTAGTTTTGTCCATGAACTCCATGAAGACAGGGACCACAGGACAACATCCAACAAATATCAAGTATCTTATGTAATATTTACTATTCAATAAATATCTATTTCACATATTTTGGGGGTATTCCAGGGATTGAACTTAGGGGCACTCAACCACTGAGCCACATCCCCAGACCTTTTTTGTATTTTGTTTAGAGACAGGGTCTCACTGAGTTGCTTAGCCCCTCACTTTTGCTGAGGCTGGCTTTGAACTATCAAGCCTCCTGCTTCAGCCTCCTGAGCCCTGGGATTACAAGTGTGAGCCACCTTGAGAGCTTGTTTGGAGGTTCTAGCAGGGGAGCGCAGCTACTCGTATACCCTTGACCAAAGAAAGGTCCTCCTCTATCGGGGAAGGTCGTCCTCTTCCAAAGAGCACGCAGCTGCAGCTTCGGGAGGGACGCACAAGGAGCGATGAGGGAGGAAGGGGACACCCACCTAGCCAGCCAGATCAGCCGAATCAACCCTGGTGATCAATGGGGTGACAGATGTTGCAGCCAGATCGCCCTATCAAGAGCTTTGTAATGTTTTGAACAACTAATAATAAAAATTAATTAATTAATTTTAAAAAAAAGTGTGAGCCACCACACCCGACTCCACATACTTTTTTTAAGAGCAAAAGGGAAATGAGGTAACATGGTGAGTCAACAACTTTTTCAAGAATTTTTGTAAATGGGAGCAGAGAAATGGAATGGTGGCTGGAAGGGAATACAGGGCCAAGGGCAGGTTAAAGGTGGGGATGAGAGGAACAATCCCAATCAACACATACATTAATAGCATAAGAAGGAAGGAGTGATTGAAGAAGCAAAGCTCTAAGAAAGGTGAGGCTTGGGCTGGGGATGTGGCTCAAGCGGTAGCGCGCTCGCCTGGCATGCATGCGGTCCGGGTTTGATCCTCAGCACCACATACAAACAAAGATGTTGTGTCCACCGAAAACTAGAAAATAAATATTGAAAAAATTCTCTCTCATACTCTCTCTTTAAAAAAAAACAAAAAAAAAGGTGAGGCTGATGGGATGCAGAGCAAAGGGGAGACTGACTGGTGACAGACAGAAATCTGTCTTTCCCTTGTAACAGGAGGAAAGTCAGAGGAGCCTCAAGCACCATTGGGAAGAGAGTTCCTATTTCCTGGCCTCTACTCTAGTTCCTCACTGAAGTGTGGGAGGTGAGGTTATCTGCTGAAATTGAAGAGTAGGCAAGACACGAAAGTTTGAGAAGAGAGGACAGAGTACAGAATAGACAAAGGGACTTTACTAGGGAAATTGAAAAGGACAGCCAGGCAGTTACTGAGGGCTCCTTTAGAATCTGTAATCATGAATTTAAGTGAAAGCAGTCAGTGGGGTTGGGTGATTTTCCTTGAGCAACACCCAGCTCCTTGGTTGCAGGTGCCCTGATGATCAGGATGATTATAACAAAGCAGTGGTTCTTCAAGCGGGGACCCTGGACCAGCAGCATTAGATTGTTGAAAACTTGTGCCAAATGCACATCCTCAGGCCCCACCACAAGCCTATGTGGTTCTGGTGCTATGCGCAGTCAAATTGGAGCAGCCCTGTTAAAAAAGAAAAGAAGAACAAGAAAACTGAGGACCTACACAGGGATGATTATGATGACACACTAGAAAAATCTCAATTGTAAATAAAGGCAGGAGGGGGCTGATCAACAGTAATAAAATGATCTTAGAATATAACAAAGTAGGGGCTGGGGCTAGGGCTCAGTGGTAGAGCACTTGCCTAGCATGTGCAAGGCGCTGAGTTCGATCCTCAGCACCACATAAAAATAAATAAACAAAATAAAGGTATTTTTGTCCAACTACAACTAAAAAAATATTTTAAAAAAATAATATAACAGGGGCTGGGGGTGTGGCTCAAGCGGTAGCGCGCTCGCCTGGCATGCGTGCGGCCCGGGTTCGATCCTCAGCACCACATACAAACAAAGATGTTGTGTCCGCAAAAATAAATAAATAAATAAATAAATATTAATATTCTCTCTCTCGTGCTCTCTCTCTCTCTCTCTTAAAAAAAATAATATAACAAAGTAAAATAATTGTAGCATGGTGTATTCATTTTCTACCGCTGCCATAACAAATTATCCCAGACTCAGTTGTTGAAAACAACAGCAAGTTGTGATCTCATAGTTCTGCAGGTCAGAAGTCCAGGTACAGCATGCCTCAGATAAGTTGTCCATTTAGCTGCACAAAGGTTGAAATCAATGTGTTAGTGGGACTGCATTCCTTTCTTGAGATCTTGGAGATAAATCTGCCTCTAAATTCATTCTGGTTGTTGGTAGAATTTATTCCCTGTGGTTGTAGGGATGAGGTTTCCTTGCTGAGTGTCAAATGACACTATGGCAGCTTATTAAAGCCAGAGGCATTCTGTCAAGCTACCCCCTCCCTCTTCCAAACAGCCAGTGCATGGAAGTCTTCCAACACTTTAAATCTCTCTGGCTTACCCTTTAATTGTATCTATTCTTTCTGCTTTACTCCTTTATTGCATCTCTGACTCTTGCTAGAGAAAAGTATCTGGTCATATTTAAGGATTCATGTGATTAGATTGATCTTTTGCCTGTAACTGATCAAAGGTTGCCCTTTTAGTGTCTACTATCATGGCTGTTGTCCTTTCTCACCTCCCCTTTCATATTCTTCATCCTCTTTAGAAAAAAAAGGCACATCTCTCATCTCTCACTTATCCTGAGACTGTCTTATTTTTTTTGTGGGGGGGGATGGTGATAATGATATATTTTTCCCACATTTGTTATTGGTGCATTGTAGGCGTAGCTACTAATGGGATTTGTTGTTACATACTTGGACATGTACACAATACACAATATAGCAATATAATTTGACAAATATCACTCCCCAGAACTTCCCCACTTCATCCCCACCTCCCATAGTTCTCTTACCCTGAGTCTTATCTTTTCCTGCTTTATATATATTTTTGTTAAGTTTGAAGCATCTCCTCGTGAACTGGGTGATTTGGTCCACTGAGCTGTTAGACATGTTCTAGAATGAAACCAAGGAAAAATGAAAAGCTTTATCCCTCCCATCTCCAGATTACTATGCAAGAATGCATTGCTTCAGAGACAGAATCCTATGAGGGAAAAACAAAGAGATCAATAAGAAATGCCAGCGTAGCAACTTTTATCCTCCAGGCACAAACTTGGGGCAGGGCTCTCTGCCTCACTTAGATATTTAATCTAGAACCAGAATTCAGACTCAGGACCAGGAAACACAATATGTTTATTGAAGTTGAAAACGGAAGGCTGATTGGCTAATTAATTTGAAAATTAGGCTGATTATTGCCAATTTGATTATATGGCACAAATTTTCCTAAACTGAGTCAATTCTGCAGCTCCAAGGTTTTATCAAATTCTATTTAAAGCCCATAGTAAAATAAGGCATTTTTTTAAAAAATTATGTTAGCAAGTATTAAAATTAATATTTTTACATTTCTCTTTCTGAGTATGTTGGATTAAAGAAGCTATCTCTACATGAAAGAATTGAAGACATAAGTAATATTTGTTTAATCTTGGTAAGGCCTTTCTTGATATGCTTTGCGGAAATTGATGAGTGAAAAAGTCTAACTGGGTAACAAATGATTTTAAAAGAGAAGTGGTTTTCAATTCTTTTACTTTCAACGAAACTGAAAATTGAATTGTCAGCTAATAAGTTGTTAAAATTAATTTTTAGTAATACTTTGCTATGTGATTTTGGTATATAACAGAAAGGGTTCAAATAATTGAAAATATGTGTAATAACTGAATTCCTTCCATCTTATCTGTTTATATGAACAAGGTAATATTTAATCACTAATACATGAACTAAAAAAAAACACAAGCCCATCTATCTCATGAAGAGAAACATTTTCACTAATATTTTGTTTTTCATATTTTAAAATTATTTTTAGTTTTTAATTCATGCTGAATTAAATGGTACTGCCTATAATCCCAGCAGCTTGAGAGCCTGAGTCAGGAGGATTGAAAATTCAAAGCCAGTCTCAACAATTTAGCAAGGCCCTAAGCAATTTAGTTGAGACCCTGTCTCAAAATTAAAAATATAAAGGGCTAGGGATGTGGTTGAGTGCCCCTGGGTTCAATCCCTGGTACAAAAAAAATCTTTTTCATCATAATCATAAGACATTTATATTATTTCCATCAATGTGTTCCAACAATAATCATAATTCAATCCAGAAAAATTTAGCACCTATAACTTTATTGTCATAGAAAATAATACTTTTAAATTTCAATTCATTCAAAGAATAATATGTAATCAATAAAGGACTTTCAAAGATAAAAACATATTACATCAGGATAAAATTCTGTAGTGAGAACTACAATAAATTTCGCAAGTTCAAGGAGAAAAAGACACAAAATTCCAACTTTAAGAGATCATTTTTTTTAATAGACATAGGGTATTAAGTTGTCATGGGATTTAGATTCTATAAGATACATTTTTAGCTGTCTTAGTCTGTTTTCTGTTGCTACAGCAAATTACCTGCAACAGGGTAACTCATAAAAAAAAAATAGAAGTTTTGGGCTTAAAGTTCTAGAAGCTGTTAAGTCCAAGAGCATGGTGCTGGCATCTACTTGCATCCATGAGGGCCATATTTCTGTCATCACATGACAGAGGGCATCATGTGGTGAAACTGCAAGAGTGCTAGCTCAAGTGTCTCTTCCTCTTCTTATGAAGCCGCTAATACCCTCATAGGGACCCCACACTCATGACCTCATCTCAGCCTACTTATCTCTCAAAAGTTCCACTTCCATATACTATGAACATATGAATTTGGGGATTAGGGTTCCAAAACAGGAACATTAGGGGACATATTCAAACTATAACGCCACCCATCTCAGTCCTCAGGACTTGCATATTTGCAACATCTGCTGGTTGATCCAGATGAATCTCTAACTGGTCTAATTGGTAGAGCGTCCCAGTACCGCTTGCACTTGCCAATGTGTCCCACCTCAGGACTTGACTGGCCTCAGACATTTCACAGCAGATGAAGAAAGGAAGAGAAGACCAAGTTGGTCTCAGCCTACACAGCTGCCCTATGCAACTGTCTGGGAGGCTTTGGAGCTCTAACCCTCCATTTGTGCCTTCCTTGACCCAGGGCTACTGGGATAGAGCTAATGGGCAGCAAAAGAGCAGTGTATGTTGGAGGAACACCAGACAACTCACTTCATTTTTCCCACCTCTTCTTCCATCCACCTAAATATTTCAACCTTTAATTCAGGTCTCTGTCTGGGTGGAACATTGATACTCTTGGATTTTCCATATTATAAGTGAAGGGAATACTTCATAGATGATTGAATGAATCAGTTAACTAACAAATAACTACACGGTTTCTGTAACTTCCAGTTTTTTAAGACTGTCATAGTAGCCAAGTGCAGTGGTGCGCACCTGTAACCCCAGCAACTCCAGAGGCTGAGGCAGGAGATTGAAATTTTGAGGCCAGTCTTAGCAATTTAGCAAGTCCCTGTGTCAAAATAAAACATAAAAATAAAAAGGGCTGGGGCTGTAGCTCTGTGGTAAAGCACCCCTGGGTTCAGTGCACAACACTTTTTTTTTTTTTTTTTTAGTGCACAACACTTTCAACATAAAAACAACAACAAATAAATAAATAAATAAGATATTTTCCATTCCCTACCTTGGTTCAAACCATGTAGTTATTTGGTTCAGCACTTGTAATTTTCTTATCTATACCCTTCACCCAGCCCAGAATGAGTCTTTACATTATGTCTACTCCTGGCCTCTTCCCTTATGCCCATATTTCAGCCTTATCTTTACAATCTGCCTTTAAGGCCATCAGACTCATTTCATAAAGTCCTACTTTCAATTATCCATTCATTCAGCAAACATTTATCAAGCACCTGCTACATTCCAGGCTCTGTTGAGAGTACTTGGGGCACACAAGTAAACAAAAAAGACAAATAAAACTAGGATTCCTGCTCTTGAAGCGCTCACTTTCAGGTAAATACTCTGTCATATGTTATTAGGTAAGAAGTCATATAAAAGGAAAAAGATCGGGCAGAGAAAGCAGGAGCAGGAGTAAGGGTGAAAAGTATTGCATAGTAAATTGAGTGGTCATGAGCAGTCAGAGGAGCAAGATCTTAGGACAGTGAAGGAATAGAGGCAGGAGTATGTCTGGCATGTTTGAGACAGGAGACCCAAGTTGTTGGAGCAAAGTGAAGGATAAAGAGAACAGCAGAAGACAAGCCATAGGTAGAGGCTCCAGTCAGATGGTGTAAGTCATTATAAAGACTTTGTCTTTTATTCAGAATGAAACAGCCACCTGTTGGAGGTTGCAAAGAACAGGCTGGTGGGGGTGGGGGGTGCAGTTGCAGAAGCAGAAGAAATTGTAAAGTGGCTACTGCAGTAACCCAACTGAGAAATAACTAATGGCAGCTCTGATCAGGATGGTAGCAGAAAAAAGTGGTTAAAAAAAAAGTGTTTGGGGGCTGGGGATATAGCTAAGTTGGTAGAGTGCTTGCCTCACATGCACAAGGCCCTGGGATCAATCCCTAGCACTGTGGGGTGGGGTGGGGGATGTTTGGATTACATCCTGGATATATTTTGAAAACAGATTCAACAGGACTTTTCTGACAGATTGGATGTGGGAGGTGAGAGAAAAAATAAATTCTGACTCCTAGGTTTTTTTTTTTTTCTGAGCAATGAATGAATGGTGCTATCATCAATTGAAATAGGGGAGTCTGAGGGTAGAAACATTGGGGGAGTTAAGATCAGATGTTTGGTTTTGGACATGTTGAGCTTGGCTTGTCTTTTAGGCATTAGAAGCTGTTAAGTAAGTAGCTGGATAAATGACTGATCTCATGTCATCTCATGCTTTAAATATCCTATCTTCATGGACATCTCCAAAGTCAACTCTGATTCTCAGCTAAACTTCAAACTGTCTCTTTCTTTTTTTTAGTCTGTATTGGGGATTGAATCCAGGGGTGCTTTACCTCTGAGCTACATCCCTATTCCTTTTTATTTTTTTATTTTGAGACAGGGTCTTGCTATGTTGCTGAGGTTGGCTTCAGGCTTGCAATCCTCCTGCCTCAGCCCCTTGACCCTAGTCACTGGGATTATAAGTGTGTAACACAACACCCAGTCTAAAACTTCAAACTCTTAAATCCAAAGTGATTTACTCATTTAGTTTCTAATATACATGTTTTTTGCTTTTAGTTGTAGATGTACACAATACCTTTATTTTATTTATTTGTATATGGTGCTGAGGATGGAACCCAGTGCCTCACACATGCTAGGCAAGCACTCTACCACTGAGCTATAACTCCAGCCTAACAGGCATCTTTGGTTTAATCTGTCCAAAGCTAAATTTCTTATACCCTGCCTCCCTTCACAAAACACACACAAAAAAACAACATCCTACCTAAACCATAAAAGCAATCTTGATGCTCTTCCCTTTCAAACTTCACATTCAAACCACTAAGATCTTTCTGAATCCATCCTGAGGCCATCCTTACCATCTTCACCACTGTGCCTGCTCCAAAGCACCACATCATCTCTTGCCTGGATTACTGTAACAACCTCCAAACTCAGTCTGTTCCCCACAATGACCAAGTTGATTCCTTTAAGAGTTAAGTCACAGCTCAAAACCTTTTAATGATTCCTCATCTTAGAGTAAAATTCTGTAGCCCCCCCCCCCCAGGATGTGGGCCCTATCATGGACAACTTATCTCTCTAGGCACATCCCTTCATTTGTCCTGGCTCACTCCACTCCTGTCACACTGGCTTCTACTAGTGCCTCTACACTTGTACTTGTGCTTCCTCTGCCCAGAAATCACTTTTTCCAGATTTGAAAAATGGTTCTTCCTTCACTTCCTTCATTTTTCTGTTCAAAATGTTAATTTATCAAAAAGATATTTTTTTCACTACTTGCCAAACAAACAAAAAACACATCATCTAGTCTCCCTTACCTTGCAAGCTCCCTAGTAGAAGAATCTTTGTTCACTTCTGTATCCTTAGTGCTTGGGCCAATATTGGAATATAGTTAACATTAATTGAATATTTGCTGGATGAATGAGTAAAGCAAACTTGGCGTCTCTGTAGCTTGAGAGTTTATCATGACACTAGAAATTGACCTGGGAAAAGAAGAAACCTGTGTGAACTCTCTGAACACAACATTCATGGTACAACACTACCACTACCACACACACACACACACACACACACACACACAATAACCTAGAACCTATGCAAATGTACAACCAGGGAAATGATGAAGTGTGCCTGTAGGATAGAAAAGTATACAGTCATTAAAACCACTAACTATGAAGACTGTAAAACAATTATGGTATGTTACAGAAAAGTAGTTACTGTACTATCATAATCACAGCAATCCAAAATGTGTATACATAGAAGAGCTGATATTAAAAACAGTTATTGTGCTGTCTATGGGTGGCTTTATAATTTTTTTCTTCACAAAAATAACCTGTGTTATTTTTTTTCCATAAAAGGAACACGTTTTAACTCCCTGAGTGACTGGCTGAGGAAAATCCCAGCCCAGTGAAGTAAGCACCCAAGTTCCCCCAGGGACTCCTGGGTGCGGAGGTGATGAGGGGTCCTGAGACAAGCCTGTACAGAAGAGCTGCCCTGGAGGCTGAAACCCAGTGGTAAGCAAGGCATAGAGGTTTGCATGACAAACGGGGGGGAAAAACCACCAGAGAGCTATTTCTATTTAAGCTCAGAAATGCAGAAGTATATCTGCTTGAACCTAACTTGGCTTTAAAAGGAAACCAACTGTGCCCCTAAAGTTTTTGTAGGGTGGGGTGAGGGGAGGGGTATTCTTTAAGGAAGGAAGGTCAAGTGTAGACTCAAGTGACCCTAGATGGAGAATCAAATTCCCCAGCTGATGCCAGATTCCAGGGCCCCAGGCAGACTCGGTGCACAGTTCTGAATCCATAAACCTGCTAGTATTGTTTTTTATGTTTTTATAAGTGCATTATAGTTATCATAATAGTTTTGTTCATTTAGACATAATCATACATATATGAAATTTAGTTTGCTTCGTTTCGGCCCGTGCCTCCTCTCTGCCTCCCCTCTCCCCTCCCCCATTCCCATTTCCTTTTCTATTGGTCTTCTATTTATTTCCTTCTATTTTTTTTAATTGGTGCTTTGTAGATATATACAAAGGTGGAATTCACTGTGGTATATTTATACATGCACATAGCAAAATTTGGTCAAGTTAATTCCACACTGTCTCCAGTTTCGCGTCTCTCCCTCCCTCCCCATCAGTTTCTTTCTATTCCATGGATCTGCCCTCTATATTTAAGATATCTTCACTCCTTCCTCCTCCGCCCCACACAAACCTTTCCGCTACCCCTCCACCCGCTTTCTTTGCTCTAGCTTCCTCACGTGAGAGAAAACACTCGACCCTGAGTCTGGCTCATTTCAGTTAACATGCTGTCCTCTAGAATTTATTTCAGAGCAATATTTATTAACTAAGGTTCTGAACTCTGGTCATCATAAAACTATGAAACTTCTTACGAGGAAAACTGCACAGCAGCTCAAAAAGCCGGAAATTTTTGAGGTTTCATGGACTTCCTGAGTCCTATATCCGTCCTAGTTGTCTCCATACCCATTAAGGACCTCTAAATACAATGCCTTACATACAATGTGTCCGGCCTCTGCGAGATTTTTCGAGTCTGTTAATAGTAATGAATAAATACAAATTAATTTAAAAGAAATACTAAATTCAGAGATTTCGTTGTCATGTACCTTCTCCAAAGGGACACTAAACGCTTGTACAGGGCTGAGAAACTTGTTTAAAAGGTCCCTTAGTCCAGTGTGTGTGTGCAGCAGTTGGTTGATTCACCTTTATTTAAGATTTGTTCTCCAATTATGACCGGGGGTTTCCAGATATGGAGTGTTAGCATTATCCAAAGAGTAATCAGCGTGACCCGGGCGTGAAGCGCAGTCACCGGGTCCCTTAAGGTGAGTGCCTGGATGCAGCCCCAGGGCGCAGGCGCGGGTGGCGGTCCCAGCGCCTCTACGCGGAACTCCCTGGCCGCGGGCTCCCTCTGGCGCCCCCAGGCGCAAGGCCCTCAAGGCCTCGGTTCCCCACAAGCACCCGCTTTACTGTCAGGACCGCGGAGGAATGGGGAGATGGCGAGGACAGGGGCGCATTGTCCAGCCTACTGCCCATCACCGAAGTCTCCAGGACAGTAGTCCCCAAAACACCTCACAGCGCCCTTTCCACCCATCCTGGACGCTGTCAACCTGATTTCGACGTTAGCCCCCAAACCTGGCTCTAGTTGCTGGCTCCATACGCTACTCTTCCAGGCTGGAGTATCTGGCACACAATAGGTGTGCGCACATCAGTTGTACACATAAAACGTTGCGTTTTTTGTAGTCGAACTACTGTGTCCCTTGCAACACTTTCAGCAGTGAACCCTCGGTAGGAGGAGGTACAGTGAGTGGTGTGCAAAGAGGGTAGGGGGACCTTGGGAGGAGGTAGGGATGAGCAAGCAGGCTTGGAAAGCAATTTCAGCATAGGCAGCAGTCAGCGCCCAGAACCGATCCCGACCAGCGACGCAAAGCCGTGATGTTAAGGACTGATCGCTAGGACTGCGCGCTACTGCCCGGTGTGGTTCGTGCAGAGTGGACCTGGTGCATCGGGGCCAGGGAGGTGGAAAAATCCAAAGAAGAGAGTCGGAAGGGGCAGAGCCTACCCAACCACCCGACGGCCCTACCCCATACTGGAGTTACGGGGCCCGGAAACCTCGAGACTTTAGGAAACTTGGGCAGAAGGAGACTAGTCAAAGAGGACTGGGGTTACAACGTGTGTCTCAGTGGTAGAGCCCTTGTCTAGCATGCGTAAGGCCCTGGGTTCAATTTCAATCCCCAGTACAGCCAAAGTAAAGGGCGTGGGTGGGGACGGTGGACCCATACAAATCATCCTGCAGTGATGGAGCAGCAAGTCCACTGTTCACCCGGGGTTGGAAGATAGAGACCAGGATGTGAGCAGCCCGGTGGGTGGGTATCCTTGCCCCAGGTTTCTCAGATCTGGGGGAATCAGCCGCCTGCAGGGGGCGAGATGTTCCTTTGGCACTGCAGGACTGTAACTAAACCAAAAGCCAAAAATAGAAGCTGAGGTCAACTGAAAGGAATGCGACTGAACAAATAGATATATATAATCCTGACGAGACACTTAGTGAAGTAATATTCCCAAACATGGCAGTAAGGAAGGATTAACTCTGTCAGGAATGCTCGGGTAAATGAAAATTTGGAGGGAAAAAAAAATTCAAGTTCTACCATCAAAATAAACTCCAAATAGATTAAAATGGTAAACATGTTATAGACATACCATACCAAATAGTAACAGTTATGTTTAAGGGTAAATGGCAGCATACTCAAATCTTTGAAACAATGAGAGAAACTGCAAAGGAAATCAACATTCAAAAATGTAAAAACTGGACAGAATTTTAAAAAGATAATAGCTTAAGAAAAATGTCTTCAAAGAGTAAGCAGATAATATCTCAAATATATGAAAGTTCGTTTAAATATAGAGGAACCATCAAAGTACTAATCCTTACAGAAGATAAGTAGGTAATTCATGAGAAGAAATAAAATAGTACCCCAGTGCATGGGGAAATACTCATTGTTCTTGATAATCAGAAAGTTTAAACTTATAACTCTAACATAGTTAATGACATCTACTGAGGTGGCAAAGATGTTTTAAAATTATAATGCATAATATTAATAAACTGGTAGGGCTGGGGGTGGAGCCCAGTGGTAGAACGCTAGCAAGAGGCCCTGGATTGGATGGATCCCCAGCATCACAAAACAAATAAAACGAAGTGGTAAAATAAAGTCACCACACATTTTTTTTTTTTTTTTTTTTTTTTTTTTTTGGTACTGGGGATTGAACTCAGGGGCACTCAACCACTGAACCACGTCCCTAGCCCTATTTTTTATTTTATTTAGAGACAGGGTCTCACTGTGTTGCCTAGCTCCTGGCCATTACTGAGACTGGCTTTAAACTCTTGATCTTCTTGCCTCAGCCTCCCGAGATGCTAGGACCATACAATTCTTTAGAATGACAATAAGATGATCTTCATTTATTCAGTAAATTGCTATTCAGCAGTTCCTACCCCAGGTCAAACATGACTTTAATCTTGCCTTATAATGGAGGAAAGTAAACAAGCAAATATACACATTGCAACATGGTGGTAAGGCTAAGAAGAGAAATAGAAAAATGAATGAGACATGCTGGTGGAATTTGGTTAGTCAGCATAGAGAGTTAGTCATGAAAAGATATCTGAGCTGAGAAATGAAGGAAGTGAGGGAGCAAATTTCATTCAACCTATGGAAAGAGTGCTCCAGGCAGAGAGAACAGAAAAGTACCATGGCCCTTGGGCAAGAGCATATGACTAGTAGAGCACAAGTTGATTCCCTTTTAACTGTAACACTTTGAAAAAAAATTAATTAACTTACTTTTTATATATATAAAGACAATAATGAATTCATTATACTGAAGAGTTACGGTCAAATGTTATTTTATCTTAGCTAAATAAATAAAATCTAGCATCAATGGAGGTGACACTTCAAAAATATGGCCTTACCCCAACCTCTCCCCAAAGTTAGAGTCTTCTAGATGGAAAACATCATTTTCACCATGCGTTAGTTTTTTTCTAAATAAAGTATCTGAAGGTATGAATTAAAGTAGTGCCATAGTTCAGGGAAAGGGTCATTAAAGTAAAAGTAAAAAATGCCTTGAGTGTGTCAATTTAGTGTGTGACTAAATACCACTACTGTTCTAATAATCCTCAAATAAATTCCAACCCTAACCTCTGAACTCCACTCTCCAAGATCCTTCTGTCTCCTTGACCTCTCCACTTAGATGTCTAAAAGGCATCTCAAATTTGAATATCCACACTGATCACTTGTTCTCCATGTGCCCGCCCCAAAACACACACACACACACACACACACACACACACACACACACACCATGTTTCTCTAACAGTTAATAACAAGTCAAATTTTTCATTTGCTCAGTACAAAAGTTTGGATTCATTCTTCACTCCCCTCTCCTCTTTTTCTCCCTCTCTCTCTCTTTAGTGGAGGAATTAAACTCAGA